TTTTTTTTTTGTCAAAGAAAAAAAAAAAGAAAATTTCCCAGGATTAAGGTTCCTATATTTAGCTAACATATGTACTAAGGTTCCTGTTTTATTATAATAATAATAAATAATTATAATAAAAGTAATTAATATTAAAGATAATGCTTTTTTTTCTATATAAATATATATATATACATATATATTTAATTAATTAATTAATTACGACTATTTTAGTAGTATTATTTTATTATTATTAAACGTTTAAGGCAAAACAATTAAAATGTATCATTTTACTATTAGAGTTACGTGTGCATTGTTGGTGTTTTTGTTTCTCTTTTTTAAGACCCCCATTATTTAATATTATTATTTTTTTATTATATTAGTTTGACATAATACCGTTCAGGCGTTCTCCACCTCTCTCCCCTCGTTCCGATGTATCATCGCGACCCTTCCCACCGTATGTGCCGAGCAGAAGGGTATAGCGTGACGTCCGTACCGCCTGCCCGTCCGACTCGAGACGTCCCGATGTTATGTTGTTTATTATAAAAAAATATATATGTATATTTTTTTTTTTACCTTTTAACTCATTTAAGTGTATTAAGGACAAAACGCAATACTTATTTTGAATGTTTTTATTTTTATTTTTATATCAGAATGTTTTCACTTTTGTTGTTCACATATTACATCAATAACAATAATAATCAACGATTTGTATTTGTATTTTATTTATTAATTCGTTTACCCCTCTCGCACACACGACCGTATGAAAGCGGTCGACAGTGTGTTAAGACGAGACTGATTCATCGTCGTGTGTGTTTGCCCATTGATTTTTATGTGTACTGACCCGCCCCTCGTAAACAATTACAAAAAAATTTTATTAAAAACCTAATGTAAACCCACTGCGGTATCACAATGTTTTACACGATTCTTGTATTAAACTGTAGTCTACAAATTTGGTCTATAACCGTTGTTTTTATTTATCAATCGATCCTCTCCAACCTCATCCTACTCCTGTGGTAGAAAATTGTGCGTTTCACGCGCCTTCTTTACAAGAGTCGCACACTTATTTTCACCGTGGGGCAAGTCCACGTGACAAGGAAACGGCACAAATGACGTTTGCCATATCGAAACGGACGTCGACGATCAAGTGGTGTATTGATGTAATACCGTGAAAAATATCTGAGCACAGAAAACTGTTGGCGGTTAAAAAAACAACAGACGTTTTACGACCGCACGTTTATGAATCGATGGAGTTTGGCGACTGCCGCGGCAGGCGAATTATTCCCGCGAAACATTCCGTTGGTATTTACAGCGATGTTTTAATTCGGTGCATATTTATCGTTTTTTAACACCTTACGGCCGGGCACCTAAGCAGTGGAACGCCGTAATGGCCGACGGATGGCGAAAATGATTACAGTATGTGTTTTATCGTCGCACACAATACAACGTAACCGGGCAATTATACGCATACCTTTGGCACAATAAAATTCACAATAGGAAAACGTTAATTGTATTAAAAGCTAACACACAAGCGCATAGCCAATCCGAAACGGTAAAATTCATTCATAATTTACTTTTACGACTCGGTCACGGTTCGTTACTTTACTAATTTCTGTTGGCTCGTTGCATACATTCTCTCGGCCGTTGCCATCGGCGGTCCTCGGGCAGCCCCCACGGTGTGCTTCGGGCGAACATCGTTGTTGTAATTGCGATACCCAAAAAACAAACATTAGCGTTTTTTTTCCCTCTCACAGTCTGAACGCCGAGGACCCGTTCTGGAAACGTTTCACACGATTCCGGCAGAAAACTCGGCGCGTTTCCTTATCGACCGGACCATCTCTTACACGGTGCAACAACTATTTGTTAACGTGCACACAGTGATAGTAACGTATCATCACAAGTGCTATTACATTACACGCGCCGCCGCCGGAAAGTGTTCGTATCTGTTTGACCAAGTTCAACGCTATTACTATACACACGGTACGATAATAATGATATCTCGGTGTTGGCGCGTGTAAAAATTAATTTGTTTCCACGTCTCAAGTGATAATTGAAAAAAAAAACCTATTTCTAGGAGTAATTAGGATTAAGTCGGCCAACAACGAACGATATAGTTATTATAAAATTACATCGAAAAATAAAAATTACTAATTAATGTCTGAAAAAGTGTTCTACGAATGCCGCCCCAATTAAAACTGAATGCAATAAAGAATTAATAATTTTCTAATTTATACACTGCGAGAAGAAATTGGGTGTACATTTGTGTTTTACTTGAAAATTATGATTTAAAAAACATATTTAATGTAGTCTTTGTACAAGGATTTTACTTAAAAATTCTCTACCAAAAGGACATGAACGCATGTTTAGTTTAATATAAAAATTACCTGACAAACTATCCTAGTTTAATTGTATTTCATTGAACGTGTCTTTCAAAAACTATTAGGTAATGCTAAGAAAATAATAGAAAAAAAAAAAAAATTGTAAAACAAAAATGAGTTTTTAACAAAATAAAGATTTTATTCTAGTCATCACTCGGCAGTAGGGAACATGACAATTCAATTATATATCAACATAAAATTACTTTACCGTTTCAAAGAAAACTCGAATGTGAAAATAAAATGTTTTCATGCGACACAAAATGTAAATTAAAAAATTGTTCCTGTTTGTGTTAATAATTTGATTTTTAACAGTTTAAGACTATGATTTTTTTTTTTTGAGATCCGCACTTCCAGTTAAATTCTAGCGGCGTTCGTACCTGACATTAAAAAATAACTCATTAATAGGGCGTGTTAATGAATTATTTTATTAATCATTAAGGCGTTTGGCCTTGAAATAAATAGAATTTACAGCAAACTCGGCGCTGTGTACATATTCTCGTTTACGGGCAAATTTATTACAAATAATTGCGTTGGGATGATGTCTTTGTCGACAACATCTTTAGTGGCTTGCAAAGAACGGGCGACGAACTGGTCTTATGTTGTCTCGAATGTAATCCCATGGATCTTCTAATTTGTCTTTTTAAATGATGATTACTCGTTTGAGGTGGTTGTGCGCACAAGACAATGACCCAAAAAATCTGTAAATTAAACCAGAGGGATCCAGCGAGTGGATAATTAGTGAGTGACCGGGCGGGTAAACGTGACGAGAAACATGACGGGCGTCACGTTTGGCACCGTGCACGCGCTCAGGGCGCACATCGAAGCCGCCCACTATTCGCTGGTCCAACAGCCGAATTTGTCGGACGAGATGGAGGACGTGGTCAACCAAATCACAGCCCTGGCCGCNACGTATCGCCTATTATATTATTATTATTATTGTACCATTTCGCCTTCTTCAATTTTTATTTTACTTATAATTACGGCTAATTATATACGCCTCTCCTCTTGCAGCGGTCACGATCACAACCGAGTGGAGCTCTCCCGACCACCGCGCGGTCGCCGCCGTCTTTATCGGCCGAACTTCCATCGTCTCGATACACAGTGTAATGTTATGTGCGTCATCTGTAATACAACAGTGTTGCGTACACGATTCCTCGGATGCTGTTACATGCACTCGAGTTCGATAATTATAACCGGTCCCGGCAACAATAATAATTATAATAATAATGAAAACAACGGCGGAGGGTTCTCACACGGCGAACACTATCGTTCGAGTGTAAAATTAACGTGAACTTTCAGCGGAATAAAAAGAGAAATTTTCTATCTAGTGAAAAAGTCATATTTAAATATCCCGTTGGCGTTGGCGTAGCCCAAGTGGGATCGTTC